TTTGAGTAAGAAATGAAATTTCAATGGTTCCTCGTTGAAATTTTGTTATTTTTGAGAGTTGATATTAAAGATAGGAGGACATACTTTATGATGAGTACATTGTGAGTTGACAATAATTACCGTAACATTAGGGAAATGAGAAGTAGCGTGGGATGCACCAAACTGCGATAGTTCATTTGAATTGTTTTATAGAATTGAGCTATTGAGTTTTCTTAATTAAAGTTTTACAACAGGTCGCAACGCGAACGCCGTAATCTGTAGATTTAACACACGTCTGAAGTACTTCCTTTGTTTACCAAAATATCATTATTATTTTACATTCTTATCTATGACTGAATTGCAGGTGATAAAATTCATCGGCTTCACCAGACCCCACCGGAAGTATAGAGATTAAATATTGGTCAATATCAAAATCAACGAATTCTTACTATCCTACATATACGTGTTATAATCAGTGTATATGTTGTGATTTTTTAAACCCGCTAATTACATCGAATCGAACGGACATCAATTTTACTACCAGTCTATATTTCACTGTATTTTTCACGTTCGCAATTATTTAAACATATTTACATGGCCATGATGTTAACTGGACCGTATCATTTAATCTAGAAAAATCTACAGAATATTTCCACATAAATCAGAACCACCTAATTATTATTATAGGAAAAGCCTATTGAAAGTCGGAGATTCGAACGTGTTCGATGATGACTTCAAATGAGTAATGATCTCTTTTGATTACTGATACAGGTGTCAGATGCTTTTTATAAACGAATGACGTATTATCGGATTCCTCTATCTTTTCCGATAACGGGATGTGTCATCTTCATTGACACCAATTATGAGATGACAATTATCCAGCGTTTCACCGTTATGATTATGATGATTATGGTGTGACAATGACAACGTCGCGTTGCGACGCGTCGTTGGCGATGTCGATTACTATGTCTGATAATAATCGTTTGGTCTTCGCCCCTAGGACTTCAACGGGCTGCGTCGAAACCGGCGATCTATCTGAATCAATTAGATTTCTATCAAATCGTCACGATATATCTCTCCGGAATTAATTGTTGGCTTTCATGTGTCGATTGATAAGCGGCCGATAAACATAAGATGATAGCAGAATTGGAAATCGGATCAGTATTCGTCTTAACGTTACAGGGATAGGCAGTGTTAACAATTGCGGGCACCATGACTGTAAGGAATTCTGGTCAGGATATTCAAGGTATCTCAGTCGTTCAAGTCAACATCCTTCACCATTTTCCTCTAGACTATCGCGATTAATTAAGGAAAGAAACCATAGTCGTAGG